AATTTTAAGTTTATTAATGGTAATGATGATGATAATTGCATCATGGATAGCTTATCAAACACAATGAGTTAAAAAAAAAAAAAAATTGTAGATGCTGTAACGGCCCCCCGAAAATTTAAAATGAAATGTATATTAAAAATATCAAATGCGGAAGCGAAGTCAAAAATTCGATTAACATCCCTTACACTAAAACAAAAAACGTGCTCACAAAATATAAAAGATCAAACTACCTAAAGGAGAAACTTGAAAGTAAAAGCTACGAATATGACTATGGAGTCTTTAGGCGTCCCCTTCGTCGTCCTCTTGCGGAACCGGCTCGGGAACGATGTCTTCCTGATCTGAAATGATTAAATAAGGAATGAGCTACACTAACCCAGTAAGGACATCACGATATCTCACCGTCACGGAGGTAAAGGTGGGTAGAAAACACAAAAAGACCAATGGAGCATAATTTACAACAAATTCTTTTATCAATAATAAATCCTTCACCATCCACTTACCTCAGTGAAATTCATAAAACAGTATACGAAAGCAATAACATTATCATCATCATGAAATCATATATGAACTGTATAACATAATACTTATCAAGCCTTTTGTAATTCAATCGTTACACAACATATTTTCCTCATTTACCAGCCCACTAGTATCCATGGGGATCCATAGGGGTCCCGCTACCCGTTAACCCTTAACACTTGAAATCAAATTCCAGGGCCGTCCCCATACCCCGTCCGGTATGGGCGCCAAAACACATAAGATCTCCATACCCCGTCCGGTATGGGAGACCACGATCCCGGTAGGGTTCCCTACGGACCCGGTCCGTCCACCATCTCCCAGGATATCTAGTCAGGCTGACCACATTATACAATTACCCATTTACATAATCTTTCATTCTCTTTTCCCTCAGTCAGCATCATTAATCCACATACAAACAAGCAAAACGGTAATTTATGCCAAACAGACAACATACAGCATCAATATCACAGTCATTCAATCCATAATCAGTAAAACAGTAAAATATGCACACGAAACTATAAAATGAAAACGTCAAACCTCATACTGCATTTAAAACTGTAAAACAGGCCAAATAACAATTAACCGACAAACACACTAGACTCGGGCTCCATTAGCGACCTTAAGCAATTTCACACATTCGTTGATTCATGAAATACCGTTTTATCATTTATTGAACTTTAATACCGTGATAGGAAATAGGGTGAGGGGTCCTTACTCGTTTCGGGGTCCGAACACGGCTTCACAGTGCGCCTACAGGCTGTCCCTAATTTTCCCTGAATTTTTTTCGGGGAACTGAAACGCACTACTGGTACCTGCACGTGTTCCAAAAAATCCCAAATTAGGCCCAGGGCCCCTTTTTGGCCAATATCGCAATTCCGGCACGACGGCTCCGCCGTGCTCCGGCGACGGCGCCACCGCAAGCGGCGGCGATTCGCCTCGGTTTGGCCTTTTTCGGCCGAATTCGGCCACACTTGCATCGATCCTTGCGATAAAACAACCCTAGGGCCCTCGGGGGGCCAAAAAATTACGGAAAACCGAAGCTTACCGGCGGCGGTGCTCTCGGGTGCGGCGGCTCTCCGGTGAAGTTCGTGTTTTGGTGATTCGGCTCCGATCAACCTATAGAGAAAAGAATGGTGATCACGGTGATATAAAAATTGCATCAAACGGAGGCCGGGAAGGGCCTCATCGGAGGCAAAAACTGAGAAGGGGCGCGGCGGCGCCGCTGGGTTTCGGCCGTGTTTTCCGGCCGTTTGGCCGGGATTTTGGCTCCGATTTGGCCACAGGAGAAATCAGCGTGGAAAAATGAGTCGGGGGTATGAAATTTACCTCGATCGGCGGTCGGAAATCTCCCCGGTGCGGCGGCGGGTGGCGGTGGCCGGCGTCTGGTTCGTCTTCTCCGGCGAGGGCAGGCGGCTAGGGTTTTTGTGGTCTGGTGTGGGGGTTCTATTTATACCTTTTTGCCTTTTGATCTCAGCCGTCCATTTTGTTTTAATATGGGCCGTCCGTTTTTTGATTAAATCTGGACCGTCCGTACGCACGCTTGATCTGGGCCGTCCGATCGCGTGTACGCGGATCGCCAACGTGGCCCGTCCCCGGTCGACGTGGTTTTGCCACGTGGCAGGTCCTGGTTAGCCGGGACTGCTGACTGGGTCTGATAACGTGGCTGCTGACGTGCCCCCCCCCCCCCCCCTTTTTTTTTTTTTTTTTTACCTTCAATTTCCCGGGCGCTACAGATGCACGTTACGAACCGACTTAAATATGAACTTGTATAGAATGTAATTAGATTATTTTATTTAGTATGTTCACATTTAATACTTTTTTTAAATTAAAAAAAAACATTAGTTTGAATAAATAAAAGTGTGTGAATTTTAATATATATTTTGATATGAAAGTAAATAAAATATATATATATAAAAAATGTGAAAAGTGGCATTTTGAATAATGTTTGTAAAATGGATATAAAAAAAACTTATGTGATAGAAAGAAACCAGGTGGTTGTGATATCGATGGTTTTCAAGATAGTTGTATATTTGCCTCAGCCTTTTTTAATTACGAAGAATGCTGCCATTAAAGGTCATAAAAAGCTCACTGCAAAAGTCTTTTTTTTTAAAAAAAAAATTAATTAATACCTCAAAGTGTAGATTTAATCAAAATAAACTATATATAACTCAGGAGCAAAAACATTTTCTTTGACCGTATTAATTTGGGCCTAACATCCAATTAATTAAATTTCTTTTACCCTTCTAATAATATTAATTTATTAAAGATAAAAACTTTTAATTTAATCTCCAGTACTAGAAATTAACATAGTAGATTAATTAATTTATATAATGGATGAAAAACTAAATCAGTTTTAAGCCTCTGCCAAAAATAACAGTCTGTGTTAATTGCGAGAGGATTGAAGTATTTATTACACAGAGTTTAAATTTATAAAAATTCTAAAATTAACCTTTTACTTTTTACGAATACTTATGAAAGTTACATATTCTAATTTTGTTCATGGATTTTTAGCATGAAAATATCTGTCAAAGTCAAGCCTTCCACGTTTCTTTCCTTTTCAGCAAAAGTTTTTTTTTTTTTTTCTTAAATTAAAAAAGGGTACAATTTTATATATTATATAATATTTAACATAATATACTTTGCACAAAACCTGGTCACACGTCCCAATCTTGAACCCAACACACCACCAGATCTCTAATAATTTGGTGTCTTCTTTCCATAAAGGGAGAGAAAGAAAAAAGAAAAAGGGGGGAGGAAGGTAGCAGCATGCAAAAACATACAGCAGCTTAATTATACGTATAAATATAATTTATGCATCCCAAAACAACATCCATGTTATGTCCTTCTGCAAAATAATAAAATAAATAAAGAAGTCTAATTCTAATGGGTAACAGATTCACACACACACACACACAAAAAAAAAAAACACATAGCAAAGATCAGTCTCAAAAAGTGGGCCCCACAAATTACAAAACTCTTCTCCCCACATGATGATGGTTATGGCATTCCCTCAAGAACCTACTGCTCCGTCAAACTATGTTTCTTTAACTTAATTTTGAATTTTTAATCATCATTACTCAAAACCTTTTTGTTTAGTCCCCACTTAAATAAAGAATTTTCTGCTTAATTATAATTTAATCTTTTTTTTATATATATATACATACATACACACTATATAACTTCTTTATCTACTTAAATTTTTATCCAAAACATAAAACTACTTTTTAACAACTTTTACACATCTTTAATTCAGTAACTATTAGAATTTAAATTTTGATCGTAATAGCATATAATGATATCTTTAATTCATTGACATAAAACCCATTCTCAAGTCGTAGTCAAAAAATTTAAATTTGTATATATGTATTAAAAAAAAAAAAAAAAACCAACTTGTTATTACTTGTTTCCTTCTGTCATGTACTAAAAGTAAAGCCTCACACACACACATATATATTATACACACATAACATGAGCATTTTGAAAGCAAGCTTCAAAGAACAATTATTTGGCTTTTCATCAATGGAGGAAATGATAGAGAAAGAAACTAGTGCAATTCCAAAAGTGATCGAGTTTCTGTCTTGTTTGCTGGAAAGAGTTGCAGAATCAAATGATATGAGGTGTGGATTTGAAGCTCAGAAGATGTCTGTGTTCCATGGCTTAACGCGACCAACCATCTCGATTCATAATTACATGGAGAGAATCTTTAAATATGCAAATTGTAGCCAGTCTTGCTTCGTCGTTGCGTACGTTTATCTCGATCGATTTGCTCAAACTCAACCTTCCTTTCCTATCAATTCTTTCAACATTCATCGCTTGCTTATTACCAGTGTCATGGTGGCTGCTAAGTTCATGGATGATATGTAAGTAATTGAGATTATAATTCTTGAATTTGGTTTCTGCTGATTCTTTTTGGAGTAGAGGGAGAGAGCACAATAGTGACCTTTGAGATTTATGTGAGAAAACAAATTATATATATGTTTGGTATAGATCTATCTTAATTTGAAATTTCTGATTTTCTAGAAATTAATCAAACCCAGTTTCTTCTCTTGATGCTTTTTTTAATGGCTGAAATTTTGAAGAAATTTATCTCTAATAACCATTTGGGGTCATATAATTACAAATCATTATATGAAATATTTGGTAAATTTAAGCTATGTATATATATGGTGGTGGAAATTTCAGGTATTACAATAATGCATACTACGCAAAAGTAGGAGGAATCAGCACAAGAGAGATGAACTTTCTTGAAGTGGATTTTCTTTTTGGTTTAGGGTTCTACTTAAATGTGACTCCAAACACATTTCATACATATTGTTCTTTCCTTCAAAAGCAGATGACAATGATGCAACCTTCCATTTCTACACCACTTAAGCTTCATCATCTGGGTTTGTCAGATCATGAAGAAACTTCTCATCAGAATCACCAACTAGCTGCTGTTTAGATTTTTATTTTGTTTTTATGTATAATTAGTTAGATGTAGAGATTGATTAATTAATGGCTCATATATATATATATATATATATATTTGATTTTTATATATGTGCTGTTAATTAATTATATCACAACTATTTTAAACAAGAGATATTGAGTTGGTTAAATTTCCAACTATTTTAAACTTTAAGTTTAAACTCAAAAATAATTATTCTTGTTATCCCTTAAAAAGATATGAATGTCATACAAATTATAACTAATAAATCTTAATTAAAAAGATAAAATAGTATGTAAATGTGGAAGTGGGGAAACATGTTTGATGGATGTATAGATATTGGAAAAAGAATTGAGTGGTGTTAGGTTATACTAATTGTTTTATGACAGTTGTATAGATTCTTTGGAGGGGACACGTCCCATGTGCAATCAAGACAACTAATTTTACAAAAAAAAAAAAAAAAGAGAATATTCGGATAAACTTTAAAACTAAATTTTTAATATAATTTTTTTACAAATTTTTTTAATAACTTTTTTACTAGTTGTGTAGCACCCGGAAAGGAGGGGGAAAAAAAAAAAAAAAAAAAAAAAAAAAAAAAAAGGGGGGGGCCACGTCAGCAGCCGCGTCAGCAGCCACGTCAGCAGTCCCGGCCAACCAGGGCCTGCCACGTGGCAAGATCGCGTCACTCCGAAAGGAGCCACGTTGGCGATCCGCGTGGGTGCGATCCGACGGCCCAGATCAATCACGCGATCGGACGGCCCAGATTCAATCGCACGGACGGCCCAGATTCAATCAAAAACGAATGGCCCAGATTAAAACAAAATGAACGACTGTGATCAAAAGGCAAGGGGTTATAAATAGAACCCCCACACCAGACCACAAACCCTAGCCGCCAGCCGCTCGCCGGAGAAGACGAACCAGAGGCCGACCGCCGCCACCCGCCGCCAGTCGCCGCCGCACCGGGGAAATTTCCGACCGCCGATCGAGGTAAATTTCATACCCCCGACTCGTTTTTCCCCACTGATTCCTCCTATGGCCAAATCGAAGCCGAAATCCCGGCCAAACGGCCGGAATACGCGGCCGAAGCCCAGCGGCGCCGCCGCGCCCCCTCTCGGTTTTTGCCTCCGACGAGGCCCTTCCCGGCCTCCGTTCGATGCAATTTTTATATCACCGTGATCACCATTCTTTTCTCTACAGGTTGACCGGAGCCGAATCACCAAAACACGAACCTCGCCGGAGAGCCGCTGCACCCGAGAGCGCCGCCGCCGGTAAGCTCCGTTTTTCCGTGATTTTTGGCCCCCCGAGGGCCCTAGGGTTGTTTTCTGACAAGGACCAATGCGAGTGTGGCCGAATTCGGCCGAAAACGGCCGAAAATAGTCAACCCGAGGCGACTCGCCGCCGCCAGCGGCGGCGCCGTCGCCGGAGCACGGCGGAGCCGCCGTGCCGGAGTTGCGATTTGGGCCGAAAGAGGCCCTGGGCCTAATTTGAATTTTTTTTTGGAACACGTGCAGGTACTGTTAGTGTGTTTCAGTTCCCCGGGAAAAATTCAGGGAAAATTAGGGACAGCCTGCAGGCGCACTGTGAATCGTATTCGGATCTCGAAAACAAGTAAGGACCCATCACCCTATTTCCTATCACGGTATTAAAGTTCAAAATGATAAAACGGTATTTCTTGAATTAACGCATGTGTGAAATTGCTTAAGGTTGCTAATGGAGCCCGAGTCTAGTGTGATTGATGATTTACTGTTATTTGGCCTGTTTACAGCTTTAAATGCAAAATGAGGTTTGATGTGTTCATTTTACAGATTTGTGTGCATGTACTACGTTTTTATTGATTATGGGTTGAATGACCGGGAAACTGATATTGTATGTTGTCTGTTGGTATGAATTACGATTTGCTTGTTTAAATGTGAATTGATGATGCTTATTGAGGAAAAAGGGAAATGAGACATTGTATAGACTGATAATTGTATGATGGGGTCAGCCTGACTAGATATCCTGGGAGATGGTGGACGGACCGGGTCCGTAGGGAACCCTACCTGGATTTTGGTCTCACATGCCGGACGGGGTATGGAGATCTTATGGTTTTGGCGCCCATACCGGACGGGGTATGGGGACGGCCCGTTTCACCCTCATACCGGACGGGGTATTGAGGTTTATGGTTTTGGCGCCCATACCGGACGGGGTATGGGGACGGCCCGTTTCACCCTCATACCGGACGGGGTATTGAGGTTTATGGTTTTGGCGCCCATACCGGACGGGGTATGGGGACGGTCCTGGAAACTGATTATGAATGTTAAAGGTTAACGGGTAGCGGAACCCCTATGGACCCCCACGGATACTAGTAGGCTGGTAAATGAGAAAAAGATATGTTGTACAATGATTGAATTACAAGAGGCGTGATAAGTGTTATGTTTTACAGCTTAGATTATTCAATGATTATGATGATGTTATTGTTTTTCTCATATTGTTTTCATAAATTCCACCAAGGTAAGTGGATGGTAAAGGTTTTCATGTTAATAAACGAGTTTATTGTAAATTATGCTCCATTGGTCTTTTTGTGTTTTCCTACCCACCTTTACCTCCGTGACGGTGAGATATCGTGATGTTCTTACTGGGCTAGTGTAGCTCACTCCTTATTTAACCATTTCAGATCAGGAAGACATGGTTCCCGAGCCCGTTCCGCAGGAGGACGACGAAGGGGATACCTAGAGACTCTGTAGTCATACTCATAGTTTTATTTTCGAGTTTCTCTCTTAGTTAGTTTAATCTTTTATATTTTAAGTACGTTTCTGATTTTTCGTGTAAGGGATGTTAACTGAAATTTTGATCTCGCTTCCGCATTTGATATATTTAAATACTCATTTCATTTTAATATTTACGGGGCCGTTACAGTTGGTATCAGAGCCGCATTTCCTCGGACCCATCCCTTACACTATAGTCCTTAAAAAAAAAAAAATACTCACCAATGGGTCGTTACTCAACCATTCCTTGTAAATGCAGGTACACAGAAATGAGGAGAGGAAGGCCCCCACTAAACCGAGCGGCCCAAGATAATTCACTTCGGGAGGATTTGGACAGATTATATGAGATGGTGGAAGCTCTCGTAGCTGCCCAGCGAAGGCAAGAGGAGAGAAGGGAGTTACCCGGACCTCCTCCGCTAGCGCAGGTTGAGCCCCCGTTACAGCAGGCTGATCCCGAGCTACCCCGGCAGGAGCCTGTTCCTCCACAGTACCACCCGGCACCACAGCCGCGACACGACCCGGTACCACAGCCACAGTACCAACAGGTACCGCCACAGCATATTCCAGTGCCCCCACCCCATCAGCAGGCGCCACCACAGGGTCCCCCAGTTCACCCTCAGCCGGCCCCAGTTCCTTTACCTCGGGACCTCGCTCCCTCCTTGATCGACCCCGGCTTCATAGAGAGGTACAGGAGACTGAACCCTTCTACTTTTTCAGGGGGATCCTCTTTCGAAGAGGCCCAATACTGGCTGGCGGAGACTGAGAGAGCATTTGAGACCTTGGGAGTAATTCCTGAGCAGAGGGCTGCCATTGCCTCCTACATGCTGGTAGGGGAAGCAGTACGCTGGTGGGAGCTCAAGCGGGCCACCTTGCCTGTACCAGTTACTTGGGAGCAGTTCCTAGCGGCTTTCCATGCGGAGTATCTCCCTAAGCACATCCAACATTTAAAGGAAATTGAATTTGCTCAGTTGGTCCAGGGTAATATGACAGTGTCGGAGTATGCCCGCAAGTTCCTGGAGCTGGGCCGACATGCCCCGGAGACATTGTTGGATGAGGGCCGAAAGGCCAGGAAATTCCAGTGGGGTCTCCGCCCGGAGATCAGACAGCACTTGTTGGTGATGGAGCTCGAGACATATTCGGCAGTCCTGGCAAAGGCGCAGATCATAGAAAGGAGCTTCGACACCCGCCCTCAGCTAACGGGAAGTTCCCGACCTTCAGCCCCGCTCCGCAGGCCAGCGCCTGCCATGCCTGTCCAACCCAGTAAGAGACCCAGGCCTGCCGCTCAGGGCCCTCCTCAGGCTATGGGGGCAGCTCGTGGGAAGATCTGCCAGTACTGCGGCAGGGATCATGGGGACCGACCCTGCTACCGCCTCAACAACACATGTCGCATATGCGGCAGTGCCCAGCACTATGCGAGGGAGTGCCCTAGGAACCAGAATCAAGGGAGGCCTCCAATCCAGGGCAGAGTTTACAACCTTACCCAGAAGGATGCCGATGCAGACCCGGACGTGGTACATGGTAAACCCAAGAAGGAAGTTTGTATCCAAGAGATTCCAGTAGTCCGAGACTTTCCAGACGTATTTCCGGATGAACTGCCCGGTCTACCAGGGGACAGAGAGGTCGAGTTCACCATAGACTTACAGCCAGGAACCCAACCCATCTCGGTAGCTCCTTACCGAATGAGCCGCATCGAAATGGAAGAGCTAAGGAAACAAATTACTGAGCTACAAAACAGTGGCTTCATTAGACACAGCATTTCCCCATGGGGTGCCGGGGTTACTTTTGCAAGGAAAGGAGATGGAACGTTGAGGCTGTGTATTGATTATAGAAGGATAAACAAGGTAACAATTAAAAACAAGTATCCTCTCCCCCGGATTGATGACCTTTTCGATCAGTTGCAGGGTGCACAGGTCTTTTCTAAAATAGATCTACGGTCAGGTTACCATCAGGTAAAAGTGAGAGCAGAAGACATCCCCAAGACGGCATTCCGAACCAGGTACGGACACTATGAGTTCCTGGTTATGCCGTTTGGGCTAACCAACGCCCCGGCCATCTTTATGGATCTAATGAACAGAATCTTCAGAGAGTTTCTGGATAAATTTGTCATCGTGTTCATCGATGATATCTTAATCTACTCAAAAAGTAGAGAAGAACATGCTCATCATCTTGCCCAAGTCCTCCAGGTACTCAGGGAAAAGAAGTTGTATGCAAAGTTGAGCAAGTGTGGATTTTGGCTCGAGCAAACCGCCTTCCTAGGACATGTTATATCGAAGGAAGGGGTGTCGGTGAACCCCGAAAAGGTTGAAGCGGTACTTGGTTGGAA